GTGTGTGTGCGTGTGTGTGTGTGTATGTAGGTGGGTGGGTGGGTGCGCGCGCGCGCGCTATTACAAGTACTTGATTTGTCTTGAATTATGTTAAACAATAATACAATAATTATCTCTCTTTTTTTTTAAGCAATACAGTATAATGTATGCAAAATGATTCGAAAAATACAGTTAAAAATTTTAACTCGAAATATTTCTCAGAGAAAAGTAATCAGATTGAATTACTTATAAAGTTTTTATATATATAGCTGCGTTGATCATTCGAATATTTCATCAATAAAGCTTCTACATTTTGATGGGATTATAGCAGTCCATTTTATCCAAATCTTGGACTTGTGCTCTTTCTGCACTTATTGATTTTTAACATCTACTTTAGGTCCTTTGAAGCCTGATGTATCCATCCATTTCAAGATCAATGAAAAGGAAAACTTATTTTTGAACAAAATTGGACTCGTCCCTTTTCTGCACTGACCGATTCAATTTCATCTTTATTATACTTTAGTGTAATCATATGATTGTTTTTTTTTTTTTTTCATTCCATTAAATATACCTTAATAATTTTTTGTAATTGTGTTATAAGGTTTATCTATTTTTAAAAAAGTACGTAAATTGAATTATGTTTGCATTTCAAAGTAATAAAGAAAGTTTTTAATATATTTTATTAATTTATATTATCGATACGAAAATCTAATCTATTTTAATATTGTAAGAAAATTGTATATTGTAAGAAAACAAATATATATGAGTTTGTGTGGTTTCTCGTTTTTCTAATATTAAGGAAATGCTGGAGTGACGACCGAACTTGATTAATGTCAATAGTACAAATTTTTTTTTAATTCCAAAGAAAGTCAATAATAGTTACATCTTTAATTTATTCCTTACGCTATCTGTCTCAAACGCATAATACATCTATCTTTATCTAACATATTGTAACGCCATCTCTTGCAAAATCGAACACCTACTGCTAGTTCCAATGGCTGTGTTCAGCAGAGAGAGCAGTTGTGCAACTGTTGTAAAATTCTTCAATATGATTGGTTTGTACATTTAGATCCATAAGGAACCAAAAGTAAGAACCAACCGTATTGAAGAATTTTATAACAGTTGCAAAGCTTTCTCTGCTGAATGCAGCCAATTACTGTTTTGTTTATCGTTTTCGAGTTTTCGGTATTATAGTACACGTTGCAGAATTTGTAGATCGATATAAAACTTTTTTTCTATGTTTTTAATTTTAGTTCTATTGTTTGTGCACGTAATATGCCGGGTGCCGTACTGTCATTTTGATAATACAAACTGTAAAACTTTTGTACTAAGGAAACATGTCAGGTGACAGCTCTATTAATTGGAAAAAAAAAATGTGTTTTTAACTTTTTTTTCGATTTTAGTATAAAGTCCTGCGGCACCTCCCAATTTTGCGTCTATTCTAATCCTGAAAAAGGATTTTTGATTCCATTCAGTAAATTCGGACATTTTTATCGATCTGCAATGTCTCGACAATTTGATCATTCCAGCACGCTTTTAGTCCGGATCTACAATAGGTTTTTAAGTTTTAAGCTATAAGAAATGGACAAATCACAGTTGATTATTCTTCTCGCATTCGACTATAATTGGTCAATCTCTCACAGCTTAAGGCTTAAATCATCTGTTTTACCGAATGCGATTATTTTTAACACATTTTTTAAATTACGTTAAATTTAAAAGAATCCCCTCCCTCCGCAGTAATTAAAGTATAGACAATAACGCATTTGAAATCTGAATTTTATGTTGAAAGCAAAGAAAGTTGAAAACAAAACAGTTTTATTGTCGTCCGTTTCTGGCGTCGTCGATCCGTCGTATTAGGTCTGTTCTTTTTAGCTGAACTTTTGCATCATCTTTCTTCCTTTTCTCTCCAGGGGGAAAGAAGAGGAAGAAAGATGAATTGATGCAAAAAGAACAGGCCTATTTACTAAAGACCCTCTAATAAGAATCTAAGAATACGAAACTGCCACTTTTAATCGGCTCACCATGTTTTAACAACTTTCTCCTGAAAGAAATATAAATGATAAAACAGAAAGAAAAAGAAATAGTGAATGTATGTTTTCCTCTCTCGCGTGATTTTGCTAAAACAAGATATCCTACATATAATACAAAACGCAGCTCATATCCAGACTTATTAGAGAATTTGAACTAGGGATTACTGATTAAAGAATTTTTTTTTTAATCTAGATCTAGAAGTTTTAATATAAAAGAATAGTATAGACTTGAAAATTTCATATATACGTGCGATAGCTATGATATATATGATATATATGATATATATGATATATATGATAGCTATGATAGTCATCGATATTTCGTAAATTATATGGATTAGAGGCTGTTAAATACTCTCAAGTAAGATGATACTCAAACTGGTATTTTTTTTAGACCTTAAGATATCAATACGGTTTTGCAATTGGCTTATCGTAATATCTTAAGACAGTACACATCTTAAATGTAAAAACCGACTGTATGTACCGGTCTCTGTAATTTTCACGAAATAAATATGACAGCATTGCAGATAAAATATGTAAATATACTTTTCGTGTTGCTTTTTGATTTTAGCATCAAAATAGCTACTAATTAATATTCGTCAATTTTGATCACGCGGTCGGATTCAATGCTAAAAATGAGTATCGAGTATCAGCATGAAATTGGGCCACGCGCGCGCGCATCTCACACACTCACACAAAATTTTATATTAAACATTATTATTATTGTTGTTATATAGAAGCACTTGGTACAGATAGTGGATTTAACGAACTGAGTGACGAATCTAAATCAGCTTCCATATCTCCTGCAGCATCGAGTTTAATATCACCACCATTAAGAGTTGACTCCATCAGTAACGATACTGGTTGTCCGTAAGTTTTCTCTACAAAGCTGTGCATATGTATGAAGCAAAAAATTGCAAACTATTTTCTTTCGAAGCAAATTTTTTGTTTCAAAAATTTTATTCTATTCTGACATAAAATGTAAAATATTTCTTAAAATGTACACTTTTTGATCTTATCTTAAAAACATTTATCCTAAATAATTAGAAGAATTGATTTATTTAAGAAAAACAAATTTGTTTAAGAAAATAAAAATTTAATTTTTTTTTTTTTTTATAAAATGAAAAAATCCCCCAACAAACTTGTAAGGACATTGAAAAGTTT